AATAAACTTGTAAAATCTAAAACATTTAAGTGATAAACATTCAAAAGATTCAAGCAGAAAACATGATAAAAAATTGTTATATAATTTATTGGCATCTAGTATAAAATAAAGGTTTTATTTTACTAATTTAAAAAAAACACAAACGAAAACAAAAAATAAAGCCCAGATTAAATATAGAATCTATCAACCATTCTATAATTTCTTGAAATTGTCTTTTCCTTTTTATACTGAGCAACAAGATAAATTCTGGTCAGTAATCAATCAGAAATTATTATATTAGCATTTTGGGGAATATGATAAAAAAAATCAAATCAGCTTTCAATTATTGTAGTCCTTAAGATTTAATATAGACTTTTTTTAAACGAGAAAAAGTAATGCCGACAAAAATTGATAAATGATCAAATACCACTTCCTAAAGCAAAAACTTACCTTAACAAGATTTAAGATTAAAGGTAGGTGAGAAAAAAATAGAAAGCTAAACAAGACGAGTACTCAATAAAAGAAATCAAAAAGGAAGTTCTCATAGCTATTTTTAAAGTCACAGATCATGACTATTAGATAAGTAAGCTTGTAAATAAATTAAATAAAAAAATTAAAAGTCTTGTTACATATGATATATAAACATTTTTTTTTACTTTTACAAGTTTAAAAATGGCAACATTCAAAAGAAAATTATAGCATAATCGATAAATTACAAATGTAATCAAATAGAAACAATAATTTTAACAAATTATCTTCAAATTAAGCCCATCCACCATAAAAAACATTCTTACAAATTTTGACAACATTATATCCCTTTAAATCTAATCTAATTATTTTGCTCAACAGGAAATTGACAAACTATTTAAATAAGAAAATTTGGAAAATTATTTATTCAACTCAAAGTATCCGCATCCAGCCTATAGACATTTATTACATTTTGGTAACAAGTTATCAATAATACTCAAAAAATATTTTTTTAATTCAAAGATCCAATAAATTTTTAATAAGTTTTTAATCCTGATTATAAAAGTTCTTGCTAGTAAGAAAATAACCTAGATACTTGAATAAAGTCTTTTTTTAAAGGATAAAAGAAAAAAATGCTTATCTATAAAAGTCTGATGAAGAGCCAGGGTTCAATCAAGTCCATTTTCAACTGAATCTAATTTAGACATTTTTGCAACACTAATAAATGCATTATCATCTAACAAAATGACATTCTTTCTGTTCACTTAAATGAAGTTTTGAATGCACTATTTCAGTTCACACACACACACACATATATATAAAGCTATGATTTATGAAATCACCTTATATAGATGCTGCTTCAACTGATGATTCATATAACATCTAAGCTGTTTCAGTTATAATAAACCTCAACATTAAAATAAAATAAAATAAAATATACCCTCCACCAATCTCTATGCATTTGTTTCATCTTGGCATCATTTACCTTCCAAAAGAATTCCTCATTTCAAAGAACTGATAAATTCATTCACAGATTCTTTCATTTCATGCCAATTAAGAACTTTTTGTTTGCAAGCAAGTTACATGAGAAATGTTAATCTATCAAAGATAGGTCAGCTGAATAAGCAAAATAAAATAAGATGTCCATCTTTAACTGAGGTAACTGTATTATTGCAACATGAAGAGGAGCAGTATCAAACATTTTGCTTGTTCAAGTCTTCAAAGTAACAGCTGTTTGTCTTTAAAGTTTTGAATGCACTATTTCATGAGGGTCTACATAGATATGTGAATTCATTGTTTAGCATTTGAATTTATCAAATCACTCTTATTCCACTGAAAAGTCAGCATAACTTTCTAGGGATGATGGTGTCATTTCATTTTATGCTTAAACTTTTCATTTATATCTAGCCATTCTACAGACTTCATTGCTTATTATACAATTTGTATTTTTCATCACAATTAAAAATAGATCATTTTCTTACTCGGCGATAATAACATTGAACAGTATGGATGCAAAACTCAAATTATTTTTTTTTTTTATTTTTCATTAAATTCAAATAGACACATTTGACACTTTTTTATTACTCTTAAATAATTTAAAATGACTAATCAATACATTGAACTCTGCTAGTTCTCCTCTAATGTTTTTTAATCTTTTTCCACCATAGCCCATAAAAATTTGTAATTTGATGATTTTTGGTTGACCTCTGTCTAAGGTTTCCTTAAATGAAGAATTTGTATTCCTCACCATTTCAGTTTCATTGTAACCAACTCATAAAACATGAAAATCAAAGATTGAAAGGTTTTCTATATTTTTAAAAAAAGAAATGAATAAAAATTTAAAAAAATGAACAAATTAAAAAATTAATAGGTACATATATAGAAAGAAGAGAAAATAATCCATCAAATCAATTCATCAAATTAAAAATAAATAAAAATGAAATGTAAATTAGATAAATAAAATGCCTATGTAGCAAGTGTCTAATATAAATGAAAATGCTCCCTCAACAGAAAGTCATGAGATACAGATAATTCAGTTAATATTATGTTTAATATTAATGTAACCTTTCAAAACCTCATTTCTGTTTTGAGAGGCATTAGAAAAACATCAGCCAACAAACATTCAGAGCTATTTACCATTACAAACTAAAAAATGCTTCAACTGCTAAGTGAATAATTCTGCAAATAGTTTTACAAGTTATGTTAATGAACAAAACTTATTAATCATGTGAGAAAAATAATTTTCTTATTATAGTTTATTTTTTTCTTAATTGATACTAAATAAATTTAAATAATTATTTTAAAATAAGTTTTAGAACTATGATGAGTCTTACTGTTATAGTATTTTATTTGGTTCCATCCCAAATTTTATCCATTTGTTATGTTTAGATACATGACTAATAAGATTACCTATTGTTACCCCATTGAAAATAATTTACAATATGATTATTTCATTTTAGAAACTTTCTATTGAAAAAAAAACAACAAAAACACATTTAAAAGTTTTAATTATCTAAAGAAATAGGGGACAAAAAAAAACACACAAAATGGTCTTAAAGGCAGATTATAAATAATTCAACATTTTTATTGACTCTGTTTGGGCTAAAGGTTATTAAAAAGAAAATGACCTGGTTTAGTTTGTTTGATTTTAATTAATATTTAAGAGAAACTTGAGTTTGATGACAATCAAATTTTGTTTCAAAATACATGCAAGGTCAACATTAGATACAAAAATTCACACTTTACATACTTCCCAAAATCTAACCAAATGACCGAACACATTAATTTTTTTTTTGGTCAGTCTGAGAACTTTTCAGCATCTTCTCATATATTCATATTTTATAGTCAGTTGGTCTTTCTGCAAACAGTTCTTTTTTTTTTCATACTTTTGAATGAATTTATTCATAGGATTTCTGACTAATGTAATAATACATAAAGACATACTTCCCAAGTTCAACTGGTCTTTTGGATTTATTTTTCTGCTCATTTTAATGTAACCTTTTCCCTTGAGATACCAAGTTTGGTTACTGTGGATTTACTTGTTCTTTCTCCAGTCTCCCACTCAGTCTGGTTATTTGTTGCACTGTGTGAAGGATAGGTTCTCATTACATAATAATGAGTGCCAAGATTTGATATACATGTTTATTCAGATGTCAATGCATGATTTGAAAGACAATATCGATTAACAATCACTTAATTGTCCTCAACTCGTCAATCTACAATGTTTTTATGAAGTAACATAGCATCTGTATCAGCTCACATTAGAAATGCTCACTTTGATCCTATATTCAAGGTTAACCCATTTTGCATGCATTATACTAAGCTAAAAGATTTTTGCTATATTTTTTCAATGATTGTGTGTGTCTCTCTCTCTCTCTCTCTCTCACAAAAATGTACATACAAAATGCAGACAGGAGAAGTGCAAAAAAAAAAAAAGAACTTATTAACATAACTTCATACTTTGTGCATTTTATACACTGGAATACTCATTGACTATAGGAAGACATTAGCTGAGACACTGCTAAGTTTGTACATTGTACACATATTTTGAAATAAAAAATAAAGAAAGGATAAAATTTCTTGAGCGAAGATTCATTCGTTTGAATCTTTATACAGATCTTGAAATAAGAAATATTTTGCAGATAGATACTTTTCCTGGTACAAAAAATTTGTGGTTTATAATCTTATTTTTCCATCTTCTTTTATGTGAATTATCATAACTTAATAGAAATGACTTATACTTGGATTTTTTTAACAATTCATAAAAATAATATAAAAATTAAAAATAATTTTAAGCCTATATAATCACTTTAAAGACATAAATCCATCATGCTCAGTAGATAAGCCAATATTTATAGTTAGAGTTAACAAAAGCATAAGATGAATTTACTATTAATGAACAAAAAATTGCTTCAAGGAAACTGAGAAAGTCTTTTTTGTCAACTCTACAACTAAAAATCAAGGAAATCTTAACTTTTTTAAGATAAAGAAAAATTTCTATATTGTTGTAAATATTTATTTAAAATTTATTAACAAAAAATTAAATACTTATAATTCATTGTTTTGCCAAAGTAGAAAGATAAACTATAAGCATAATTAGAAAAACAACTAATCACAAGCATATATGAAGATAATTATCTTTTTACAAGTCAACTACAACTAATTAAACTGAACTTTAAGCATTCCGAAGACTTGAGTTTTAGCTATGTGTAATAATTAATAAACAAGAGTTTTGGAACATCATCCTCAATTCATAAATTACTTCATTCTTCTTACACATGTTATCAGCTAAAAACCATCACAAACTTGAAATTTCAATTTGCAATTCAAGTTTCTCAAATGTCATTTGTAGGAGATAATCTAACAAAAATTGCAGTAGCTGTTACTTTAGATTCAGCAAGGCAGTGGTTTTAATGTTAACTTAAAATGAAGACTATATAATCTTTTATGAAATATTTTGCTAAGAGAAAATAGTTAACAAAAACCAATGACAATATTATTGTAAAAATAACAGCAAACAAGAATATAAATATGAACAAATTTATGATACTTACCTCCATGGCCATCAAATACTCCGAAATAACAGCTATCTTTATCTGAAGGTAATGTCAAAAGATGGGTATGTGCATCTTCCATGTCTGAGAAAATCAGGTTTAGGAAAATTGGAAATTGTTATAAATTCTGTTATATATTAGTAACAAGAAAAACAGATCAGATTTTATTCTAAAGATTGAAATTTATAAAATTGCTTTTCTAAGAAAGTTTTGCTATTTTATAAGAAAATGTCATTATATATATATATATATATATATATATATATATATATATATATGAGAGAGAGAGATACGTGATTTTATTTCCTTTTATCTCGCATTTTATGACTTCCATGTAGAAATTAATAGAGTAAATTCTTCCTTTCATCTGATAAGTCAGAATATATACTTTTGTAATCATGAGAATACACCATTGCCAGAAATTGCGAGACATTTTATAAGAAATGAATTTATTCAAAGTACATTTGTATACATATCAAAATGATCAGAGAAATATTCCTAAGGTAAATGTTCATACAACCTATTTAACAGAGCTTTTAGTTACAAATTCTCAAGAAATATGGTTAAAATACAATATTAAACTTTCACTTCAATCTTGTCAGTTCTACTTTACAAATCCACTTGTACCTATGTCTGTTTACTTTCTATTTTTTTTACAAAGTTCTTGTTTTCCAGACATCATTCTATTTTAGTTTAGAAAGAAAAATGATATTTTATCTGATGCATTCTTCTAAATACAATATTGTCTAAGATTCATTACTCTCATAATTTTCCTAATTCAAGAAATAAAACAAAGTTAAAATCTAACAATTTACTAATGAAATAATTCTTGAATAATTCTTAATAGCCCAAAACTTGAACATTCATTATTTTAGTGATATTGTATGATATACAACATACTGATTTTGATAAAAAGGTAATATTCACATAGTTCTATTAAAAGAGTGTTTCAATATACTCTATGAAATAAGTTATCATGAACTCTTTCATAATTTCATAGCATTTTGCATTGGGCAAAACTTATCTAAATTAAATAAGATATTCATAAATATGAAGTTAGTAAACACACATGTTTAACCAAAATCACTCACAACTTAATACTGAAATGATAGGCCTTGAAATTTAAAATCAATAAAAATGAAATGCATCCTATGGTGACCTAAAAATAAAAAGGCCCAACACAAGTTAAATCATGTTGATTTAAAGATGAATGTGCATTTGAACAAATATGAACTTGACAGGAATAGAGAAAAGTTGTGAATGGAAAATCAAGGAATGAACATCAAAGCAAGAGCATAGGGGTTAGGTGGAGATTCGCACTAAATATTCATTTTATAAAATATCAATGCATCATCACCCAACCTTCACTGAACATCTTTGTACTGTCATCATCATGAAAGTTGCTGGAATGTGTGATTATGATTTACTTAGTAGAATACACTCTAAAATCATGACAAGAAAGAAATGTATCAAAGGGGGAAAAATTTGCAAATAACACTTATTCTTTACAAATGCTATTGCTGTTGTAAGGTGGTACAATCTAATGTTTGACACTTTAAGCTGATAACATTTTCTTTTATGCAATTTAACACACTTTATTTTGGGCTATTACTGTTGACAGAAGTGAAACAAGTACATTCAAATATACTTGTAGACTATATAAGTCCAACAGAAAAAAATGTTCTATTTTTGTCCAGAGAAAAAAATTTGGGGGAAAAAAAAAAAAAAAATGTTATTTAAATTACTCTAAAAGTTACTATCAGAAGATATTATAGACTACTTCAATAATATTAACATACCTGTTAATATTTTGAGCTAAATACAATTACAAATCATTAAGAAAATATTTGCATGCTAAAAAAACATTCTTAAAAATATAGTTGAACATTACTAAAACGTTGAATAAAATAATACAATGGATGCTTCAAAATATTGTATATAACCAAAGCAACTCCACTCTTCTGGAAAAAAGTGTTTGAAAAGTTTTTCCTTTATCATAGTAATTATTAAAAAAAATAAATAAATTTACAATAAAAATTTCCAATCCTGAAACTTAGCTCTGATCCACTGCAATGATACAAGAATTTCATTTGAAATTTTTAGGGGGAAAATTTTCAAAAAAGAACTAAAATATTCATTAAAGTTCAAAAATGAAAAAACAAATTGACAATTTTCCTATCTGTAGATTAAGTATATTATAAGATTTTAATTTAAAAAGAAAAGATTATTTCTACTTCTGTTGATAAAAAGCATATTCACTCTCAAATCTGATTGGATTCACAGGCAAAAATGAAAAAAAATTAGAGTTGGGAGACACTACAGGAAAGCTTTTCTCTGATGTGTCATCAAAATATTTAATTGTTAGGATTTGAAAAAAAGTGAAAGATAAAAGGTTAAAAAGTGTGAAATAATGTTTGATTAAAAGCTAAGTTCCTACCAAAGAAGTGAATAACTTTAGAACTAATGACAAAAGAATAATAAAAAGAAAGACTGATGCTGATAATGATGTCAGCTTAATGAACATGTCAATAGATTGAAATTCAAAACTTCCCAGAAGGATTTTTCTTTTGCGATCGTGTCAAGACTTCCTGTTTATAGAGAAATACCAGTACAAATTTGAAAAAGAATGGCAGGTCTTTTTTCTACCTCTACACAGTCGTCATACATTCAAACACCTCACAACCCATTTCAAAAACTACACTGCTGAATAATCATTTAAAAAAAAAAAATTAATAATTCTTCACAAAAGGATACTGATGCGCCATCCCTGCATGCAAGAGGATCCTACTTTGACGTAATGGTTCTCACAACTTGATGTGTTCTTTACAGTCACAGGCTCTGAAAGTGTATGGCCCATTTCTAGAGAAATAAAAAGAGATACGTTTATTAGCAACATTGATTGATTTATTAAGCATATTAACATTGGCAAGAAACAAACTTAGAAGCTTCATTCTATAGTTAATAAATAAGCATAAAAAAAATTATACTTTGGGTGCATCATACAAACCATGTGTGTGTGTGTGTGTGTGTGTGCCTAGTTACATGATGACCAAATAGCAAAAACAACACAGCAGTCACAATAAATTGTGATGTAGAGTAAGATTAGTTGTATAAAGCAGCATTACTGAGGAGGTGGACAACAGTGGGATTGAGAATGGACAAAGCATCAACAGGATGGTGGGTGGCAATACTGAACACTAAGGATGCAAAAATAAAATAAAAAATTAACCAACAAAATGTGGAAGTATATCAGAGAAAAAAAAAATCAAGAAAAAAACTTTAGTTCTAACACAGAAATAAACAAAAACAGTCTATAACAAGATGGCAGATGGAATAAATATGGATGGATGTTTATACAGATTGATACATCAACATTAATAAACATGAATTGGGAGGGGGAAGTAAACACTAAACTGTATTTATCTCTACATTATAAGTTCATGTTTTTAGATCTCTTGAGATAAAAAAATATGAGGCAATTGTAGGAGTTTTGCCAAGAAGAAGGGTCACAAATTGACACTCACTACAGCCAGAAAATTCCTAAAAATTATAGATAAAAACTGGTTGTTGTTGTGACCTCAAGTTGTTTTTGATAAATTTCCTTTCATTGCCTATACAGCTGAACCTGAAACTTTAGTTACAATTACTATCATCTGCAATAGACATAGCAACATAAAAGAGGGAGGGAAGGGAAAAATAGCACTAAGAACACTTGCAGTAAAGTATGATAAACTGAAGATATTATATATATATATATATATATATATATATATATATATATATATATATATATATATATATAGCGCTGTGCAAAAAGTAAGTGAACCAAATAATCAAAAAATCTTAATTAAACTATATATTCATTAAAAAAGCCTTTATTAAATGAATTACAACCATATTCAAAAAATTTTATCAAACTGGAATAAAGATATTAATTAAAAATTAAGATTTGCAAAAGTAAGTGAAACCTTACATTTACACTCTGTATTTTTGTTTTACATGGTTACCAGTGCAAATAATTTTTGGTGCACATGTAAAAATCAAAATGACACATGCTCATTTTTTTGGTAAGCTGTATATATTGCGTCAAACAATATAATTCATTGTGTATGCAAAAAGGTGCAATTAGTGACTAAATTTAATAAAAAAAAAAAAAAATACCAAGAGCAAAAGAATTTCCTGAAGCTTTAAAAAATTGCATAGTTGAAGTCTATCATGATGATGAAGGCTACAAAAAGGTATCAAAATGATTTGGAGTACATGTCTCCACTGTGCAACAATTTATTCATGGAAGGCCTTTGGTACAATGACATTGGAATCAAGAAGTGGCCATTCACAAAAAAAAAAAAAAAAAAAAAAAAAGAAGAGAATAATTTGATGCCAACAGTTAAACATGGCGGCAACAGCATTATGCCTTGGGGGGTTCTTTGCTGCAGCTAAAACAGACAAAATAGTACACGCTGATGGTACAATGGTCTCTGCAAAATACCAAGCAATTTTGTCCAAAAGCTGGGTTTAGGTCATGGCTGAGAAGAGAAGGCAGGACATGCAAGAAACCCAAGTAATCTCAAGCAACAGTATATATATATATAATATATATAATATATATATATAAAATCTATATATATTATATATATATTATATATATATAATATATGTAATATATATTACAGGTAATAAATCTGTTGGTATATAATCCAAGTGGATCCTCATAATATAAAATATTAAAACTGATCTGCAAAAAGAGCTCAATGTATTTATTATAACAAAGCATATAAATTACATAATAGAGAAATCCAAAATTACCTCATTAGTATAGACTATTTCAATTAACATCATGTGTTACCATTATTTGACTCAAATGGTGAACTGATTCAGTGTTAGAAACTTAAAATTAAATATTTAATAAAAGACAGCAGTTGAAAAATTGATATAAAGCTTAGCAAACAAAATGCCTGAGTGATGACAAGGGTAGAGCAGATGTTGTCTGGCTTAAATGGAAAATGGCTACACAAATTCAACAGATATTAACCCTAACACCCTAAGTTTGGATAAAAAAAAAAAAAACAGAAGGGAAATTAAAGGATGGCCAGAAAAAAAGAAGTTAAAAATAACAAAATTATTAATTATTAGTTAAATAACAAAAAACTATAAAATTTGTTATTAAAAATCACCAAAATATTCTTGTAAATATAATAAGATTAATAATAAATATTTTTTAGTTTATAATAAAAAATTGAAAAAATAACATGTAGTTAAGTATGCATTATTCATACAATGCAAATACACTTTATATATTTATATTTTAATGTCACTTGTTCATTATCTATCTTACTATGATCAGTTGTACATAAAAATAATTTTATTTACTGATCAAGTATGTGATTAGGAAAACCATTATTACTAAGTGTTTGTTCAATATTAAATTCATTTTTTATAGAATTTCTAAAACCTATGTTCATTTCAAACTCAGTTGGATACACATGTTTGAATAGACACTCCATTTTTTGTTTGTTTTTTTTTAAGTTTAATTCATGTCTACTACTGAGGCATTCAAGAATCTTAAAGAAAATGTGACCTTACATATAGTAATAAGAAAATGTCAGATTATAAATAAAAAATATATTAATTACTTAGAAAAGAAATATAACACACATACACAATATATTTATATATATATATATATATATATATATATATATATATATATACATATAAATTGTGTGTATTTAGGCAGCATCTTTTCATTCATACGTTGAACGAAGAAAAGAAATTCACAATATTGATCCATAAACACGTGCATATAAGACGCTAGAAGCAAAAATCGCACCACATCTCATGACGTCACTTCTAGCGTCTTATATGCACGTGTTTATCGTTGCTTAGAAATCATCTATGTAAACAATGACAGACTATCATCACTGTCTTGTCTGTATATTGCTTAATATGTTGTAATTGACATCTTTGATAATCTTACTTATTATAAAACGCAGGTTGTGTGTGTGTCTGTAACATTTATATGTTGGATCGAATTTCCTACATTTTTAGCCGATTTCAACAAAACTTCACAGGACTACATAAAATTACCTTTTGGTGGTTCTAACGGCATCGAAAATGGGAAAAACACAGTTGTTTTTTAAGAAAATCAATTTGAAAACACGATTAAGACACATCGTGAGAATGAAAGGGGGACAACTCACCCACGAAAATGTAAACAAAAGAGCATAGCATGATGAAAAAGACGCCAAACTTGACAAAAACAAAATTTTATCGTCTAATGTTCATATTATTATTAAAGAGGAAAGATCAAAGTATTTTGGGGGTATTTTTTTACATTTTTAATCGTTTTCCTAGCACGTCTGAAATTTTCGTTAAAAATATTGGGTTTTTTGGTCAAAAAAAGGACAGATAATCATTTTCAATCATTTTTTCGATTTGATAAAAAAGATTAAAATCTTACTTTGATATTCTTTTAAAAATCAATTATCATTTTTTCAAAACTGATTTTAATAAAAACAGATATTATACTGTTTATTTAAAATATTTTGAACCAAGCTTAACTTAGCTTCTGCGCCAAAAAAATTTGAAAATAAAACAAAGCAGGTCATAACCTTTCGCGTCTCTTGACAATTGACGAAAGGCACATTCATGACGTTTAGATAACTTACGGGAGGGTAATTCTTTCTACGGATGGAAGGAAGTGAAATTATTTAAGTGAACAAATTATTTACCTCATTACTTTTAAGGAAAACTTTCAGCGCTCTAATTTTTTATTTTTTATTTTTATTTTTTTTTTTTGTACTTAGCTTTCATTTTTACGTTTACGATGCTTTATGGAAAATATAAAGAAATTAAAAAATAAGACTGTTAATAGTGAGATTAAATTTCATAAGAAAAAGGTATCTAATTAATTTAGGTACCTTTCTTATGAAATTTTATCAGAAGTGTACATAAAATACTATAATTTCATGTACATTTATTACATTTTACTGTGTTATTTGTATTTCCATTCATTTTATTATTAATTTTGATATTTCATTTATGGAAAATGTCATAACTGAGATTAATATAAAATAAGATCATATAAATTAAAGTTTAGCAGTAGTTAAATTTCATAAGATGATACTGTTACTTGTAGGTACCCTTCTCAGTTGAATTTGAAAACTCAAATTAACTTCTCCATACGTACAGTATTTACATTAGTCGGACTATTGTCCTCATCTTTGTCGCCATATTTGTCACAACGTTTCGCCGTTTATGCGCTCCGGCCTTCTTCAGGTGGTTGGAATTTCGAACTGAACCCTTTATTTCGATCACTGGGGTAGACTGTTCTAATTCCACGTGCCATGTTTGATGGATGTCAGTTATCAGTTATCTCCTGCTAATTTTCCCTCTGAAAGTTCTCCACTGCCTTAACCAGGAATTGAACTCACCTTCTTTGGGTCTGTCACTGGATCTAACCAACGCCTTTATCCACTGTGCCATGTGTTTCGCAAAAGTAAAGGGCTTAACAGCGGAGAACAATGCTGAACTCAAATAATGCAACTAAATTGTATTCTGTTTGGTCTTCCGTACTTGATAATTACTGTCCGACTATAAACACAAAAATTACATTTCTTAAGTACCATGGCTAATCTGATTGGTCCAAATTATACAATTTTCAAAGCGCTAGACAATGACAATCTCACACGGACATTTTGAAAGGTTGATGTTGCATTTAACTAATGTTAAAATATTTTTTAAAATTCAATTTAAACATTTTTAAAAATCTTTTTAAAATTAAAGAAATAAGAAATAATTGTATTAAAATTCAATTTTCATTGAAAAAATTTTTGCTTCCAGAAAATATTGTCCATATT